GGAGCACGTAATTTACGCTCGAGCATAGGTTCTCCCGCTCGAGCGGACCTCAAAATTCTGGAAAATCCAGAATGTGTTCTTGAGCTCCCTCTCAACATTCAAACCAACATTTCTCGCATTTTATGACTCCAACCTCATATATTCTTCTACTAACATGGTATAAACACTAAAACACATCATCATGGAGCTCAATTTCATGAATCAAACACATGCATGGCTCATTTTCCACCAAACTCACTACCAATATAACAATTTCATGCATTCAACACTTACACCCTTATAATTTGCACATGCATGTGGTATATTCTTCTCATTCTCAACTTATATGATGAAGAGGTGGTCAAGAACATGATCTTCAACTAAAAACTCACATAGATCATGCATTTGGTGCTCAAATATGCAAATTCAAAGCAACTACATACATGCATGCTAATATGGACCCTCAATTCAACATGGTCAACTCAATTTCATTTCAATTCTTGTTCTTGACCATTAATCAACTTTAAACACACAAGATTACACATTACACTCATGAATTCAAGAGTCAATTGCTTACCTAGAGGCTCAATTTATTCCAATCACTAGCAAATTCTTGAATAATCTTTGAGATCACCAAGCTTTGAGACCAAAACCCCAATTTCCTTCTCCCTCTCTCTCTCTAGCCGACCCTTTCCTTTTCCTTAGAGCAATTCGGCTCAAATGAGCAAGAAAAAGGAATTGAGTATGTGTGTAGTGCTCATATAAAAGTCCCTCTTGTGATGTTATTATAATATCAAATAATAGAGCACTAATTCACTAATTAAATCAATTTAATTTGATCTGAATCAATTTTCAATTAAACTTCACCGTAGGCTCTAAAAATTATGCCGTTCACAATGGCGTAATCAATTTCGGGTTCTGTGGCCGATAAGGTCTTTAATTTAATTTCCAAAGCAGATAGTCAAACAGATATTCCTACGGTGAACAGATAGAAATTCAAAACCACATATTTTCACATAATAGCACACAAAGTCGTACTAAACACATAATCATACTCATATTAAGGACCAATTAGTATATTACGGGACAGGGATATCACAGTACTGTTGTTTATGATTCAATATACGTGTATGCATTTTGAGGTCCATTTACTGTCGATCTATTGGTTTATGCAGCTGTGCAAACATTCACATTGAAATTGTGTTTATTTTGGCATAAAGCATGATGCGATTGTCCATATTATTTTGTAGTGTTCATGTGATATCAATATGAAGGTTCACATCATGTCTTATGTTAAATCCCTATTCCATAGATGTGAAGATTGTTGTAAGCACATATTATTGTAAATATTTGTTATAATACAATGTGAAAGTCCACATCATGTATGTGACATAGTTCTTTGTGCATTAATTTTATAATGCATTACTGGATAACATCCCCAAATGTGAATGTTCAAATTATGCCTTGTGTATGCTATGTTCAATGAATGTGAATGTTTGCATCCCACCTTACGACTATTGTGCGGTCAACACAGATGTGAATGTTTACATCATGCACATGTATACATCATAAAAACACAACCAAAAAAATAGTTTTCCAACCCAAAATATATGCAATGTCACAATTTTTTACACCTCCATACCAGTTACCACAATAAAATAAAAAGTAGACAACACACAAATGAAATACTATGAAAATTAAAACAAACACATTATTATGTTTGGAAACTATATGCCATGCAATTCAAAAACACTTCATGTTCGTTGCTAACACAATGTATTCTTATTTGAAACATCAAATAAAAATAATCCCACGTACATCAATATGTTGGAATGAACATTCTACATCCTATATTCGACTTCTTGCATGATTTCTGATTGTGGCTTCTCAACTTATCATATCTCCCACACTTTATTTGTTCCAGTTTCTCTTCTTTTGATGGAATCCTATTCTTTTTTGGCCTGTTGGGTGATCTTTTCACAATTGATGGATATATGGTGAAATCTGTAGGATCAAAGGGCAGTTTCTCCACCTACAGTATAGGGAATATAGCACCTGAATAGGCTATACAATATGCCTCTACATAATGCATGTCTCTAAAATTATGTTCTTTCCAAACTGAATATGAAATTTCACATCGCCAAAAAACATAATAGAGTATTGTATTCCAAACTTGAAAAATGGAACACATCAAGTGACTAATATTACCTAAAATATGAATTTTCCTAGTGCTTGTGTCCTAACTCCTTGAAGAAATGTATGTGCTCGTTGCTTACCCTTGTCTTTCAATTTCTCAAGCTTTTCATGAAAACCCACCATAGTTGGCTCGTAAGCACAATTACCCAAACTGCTAACCAAGTGGTTCTTAAATCCATTATCAATTCCCTTCGTCCGATCTCATAAACTGTTCTTCAAATGTTGTAAATAATAACCATGATGAGTTGATGGGAACACATTCGGCATCACTTCTAATAGCCCAAGATTACAGTCAAAAATGAACATAATCTGCTGCCTACTATCAACAACCTTCCCAAGTTCATGTAAGAACCATGACCAATTTGTTGTGGTTTCTAAATCAACAATCACAAATGCTATTGGGAATAGACCTACGACAAATACAATATAACAATATTAAACAATGATCATCACAATATTCCAATGTGAATATTAACACTACTCTTTTACAAAAAAAATAAATAAAATAAAAAGCCAACTAGAGATGTGAATAGTAGACCTATGACAAATACAACACAACAACATTAAACAACGATCACAATATTCCAATGTGAATATTAACACTACTCTTTTACAAAAAAATAAAAATAGAAAGCCAAATGGAGATATTCACACTATGTAGTGCCAAGACATATACCATACTCCAATCAATGTGAATATTCACATTGAGTCACACACACAATATCAAAAAATTCTAACCATTGTTCCTATCTTTCTTCGTTGTTATAAGTAGTTGACCTTTGTATCTTCCTTTCAAAAATGTCCCATTAAGAAATAACAAGTATCGACAGGAATTAAACCCAGAACTAAATGCAGTAAATGATACAAAAAACCAGCTAAACTATTGAGCGCTTGATGTGAACCACTTTTGTATCCTTGTTGTTAACCACTTTTGTAAAGCTTCCTACTGATATGTACTACAATGGATTTCTAATATTTTTGTAAAGTCTCTTATCAATATAAAAGATTGGACCTCATGGATGGTTATTGAGTGTGGATTGTAAAGTGCCCTTGAAAATTCACTAAATCTAAGTGCAATAATTTAATTTAGTATCTTTGCACATTTAATTTAATTTAGTATCTTTGTATAAATTTAGTGTTTATTGTGCAGGATGTTAGAGTTACATTGAAAAAGAATAATTTATTAGTGGGTTGAAGGGGGAGAATGTTATAGTATTGTTGCCTCTTAATTTTTATATACTTGACTTTAGTTCTCCTACCCCAAAATTTGATCATGGTTATGAATTTTATGTTTCTTGATGAAGAAAGACTAGCGTATTTTGATGCACCATTTTCATGGTTTGTTTCTGAATTCATTTATCTTTTCAAGACCTCTGACATTCCAACACAGCTGGTTGTGAAAGTAGCTTTGGTTTGTTATATCATCCCTGATATTCTGATATCAACAATAAGGTTAGTCTTCAAAGTAACTTGGGTTAGTTTTATTTCAATTATTTATAAGTAGTCAGTTGAAACCGTGAAAAAGTTAGGAGGATTTGAACTATTCCTATTGATATTTGATGTTTGGGCAAATTACAAACACCCCTTCGAGGTTTGGTGAAAATATAGATTCCCCCCATGAGGTTTGAGAAATTACAAATTGCCCCCCGAAGGTCAAATTTGTATAACAAATTAGGGGGGAATCTGTATGAAAATAAAAACCTCAGGGGGCAATTTGTTATAGAAATATAAACCTCAGGGGTGGCATGTAATTTCTCAAATCTCAGGGAGGAATCTGTATTTTCACCAAACCTTGAGGAGGGGTGTTTGTAATTTGCCCTTGATGTTTTAGTAGATTGATTTGAACTATACCTTAAACAGGGCTGATTTTGAAAATATTTTAGAGAATGAGATGAGAACTCTTGAAAGCACCACCCTAATTATGTGAATGAGGTGGAAAGTTTACATTCATGATAAATTTATTAGGAAATAAAAGATTTGAAATTTATTAGTTATTTATTTCAGTTTTCTTTATATATTTTGTTCCTCTTTCCATGTGAAGTTTTAAATTAGAGTGATATTTACTTTGCTTGTTTTTTGTTTTCCAAAAATACTTTTCAAAAAATTCTACTTTCTTATTTTCTGTGTTTTTTTTTTGTTTTTACTGAATTTGTTTAATATTTTAAGCATTTTTTTTTAAAATTTTTAGACACACCTAACATAAATACACATAAAAAGTATAATTTTTGTGAAAAAAAATCTTTTAAAAATTCACTAAATACCAAAAATATAAAATACAAAAAAATACTAGAATTCAGTATATTTTTTTTTTGTATTTTTATGCATTTATTAATTTTTTAAAATATTTTTTCACAAATTTTTTACTTTTTAGATACATCTAAGAGCATCTCCAGCAAGGCTAGTTAAAATAGCTATTCAAAATTTCACTTTACTATTTTAGCTAGTCATTTTTTTAATATACACTCCAACAAGGCTATCTACTTTAGCTATCTTCTATTAAAATATTCTTATACTTTAACTACCTTCTTTCCAATCTAAAAAAAAAAAAAAACTAATTTCTTTCAAATTATTATTTTTTTCATTCTTCTAAATATAATTATATTTTTGTGAAAGTTACATTTTTCTACTATTGTATTTTTCAAATGGTCATATTTTTTTTGCGGTCATATTTTTGTAACGGTCATATTTTTACAACGGTCATATTTTTTCAAATTTTTACAACGGTCATATTTTTATACTTTTCCATTATAAATAAGACATTCCTATCATTTGATATTACCCTCAACTTAATTTTCTACTTTATCCAAACTTCCATATCTCTCTCTATGGCCTCCAATTCTCTTTATGATATGCTTGTAAATGACTCTGACTTCTCTGAATCTGATGATGATTTGGAGATGCTCAAAGTTGTTACTATGGATGAAGAACTACTAGATAGTGAGATAGGATCAAGCTCACGTCGTGGTTCTATTCGAGGTCGTAAAGTCATTCATCGTGATCATATTCAAGGTCATGAAAGGCTTTTTCTCGACTATTTTGCTGAATCGCCTGTATATCCTCCTGAGCTATTTCGAAGGAGGTTTCGGATGAAGCGTTCACTTTTTCTTCGAATTCAAGCTGCAGTAGAAGCGCACGATCCATACTTTCTTCAAAAAAGAAATTGTGCTGAAAAGCTTGGTTTGTCTTCTCTTCAGAAGATAACTGTTGCACTTAGGATGCTTGCTTATGGAGTAGCCGCTGATTTTATGGATGAATATGTGAGAATTGGAGAAAGCACTGCAATAGAAAGCTTAAAATATTTTGTTAAAGCAGTTGTTGATATTTTTTCTAATGAGTATTTGAGGTCACCAAACAACAATGACATCGCTAAACTACTAGCAGTTGGTGAAAGTCGTGGATTTTCTGGAATGCTGGGGAGCATTGATTGTATGCATTGGAAATAGAAAAATTGTCCGACTGCGTTGAAAGGTATGTATACTGGTCATATTCATGAACCAACAATTATTTTGGAAGCCGTTGCATCATATGATCTTTGGATTTGGCATGCATTTTTTGGATTACCTGGGTCTTATAATGATATCAACGTGCTAGAAAGGTCTTTTGTATTTACCGAACTTGCTCAAGGGCGTGCTCCTGCAGTCAATTACACCATCAATGGTAATGAATATACAATGGGATACTATCTCGCCGATGGCATATATCCACGATGGTCAACATTTGTGAAACAATTCCTTCTCCTCAAGGAAATAAGAAATTTTTTTTTGCTACAGCTCAAGAGGCGACAAGAAAAGATGTAGAACGTGCATTTGGAGTGCTTCAAGCACGATTTGCAATTGTGCGTCGACCGACACGTTTTTGGAATACTAAAATGCTTAAATATGTTATGAAGGCGTGCATAATTCTACATAATATGATCATTGAGGATGAGCGGGATGACAATGGAGTAAAATACTTCAATTATGATCAAATCGATCACAGTCCCCATGTAACAGTGTTACAGGAGAGAGCTACTGAACTTATGGAATTCATTCAATGTCATCATAACATTAGAGACAGGCAAACACATTCTCATATCCAATCGGACCTTGTCAAACACTTGTGGCAATTACACAGCGAGTTATAAAAGTTTTGAATTTGAAGTTTCATTTTATGTAGTATGCTATTAGTTCTAAATGTAATTAGTATATGCTTTTAATTTATGTGTAATTTTATAATTCTATATGCCTTTTAATTATATGGTTATCATTTTAATTCTATATGCGTAGAAAGAACAACTATAACCTTTCCAAGAATCGGATGGAATGAACTTCTCTTCCTTGGCTTAGCTTTGCCAAGTGACTTGCTGTAGGTTGCATTAGAGTTGAACTCCTTATTTTGGATGATTTGGCCACAGACTTTATTTTTGCTTTTGGAATATCCTCAGCCATACCGTTACGAGATTTTGGTCCTGCAATAGTATAAATTAGGAACCATTTGATTGAAGCCAGAGAAGAGTGGGGGAAATTACTTAAAAGAAAAGAAAAGGATTGGCTTATCATCTATTTAATGAGATCAGATATATTATATTGGTATAGCCCTAATGACAACTTAAAAAGTGACACTTCATCCACCTTTAAGCTTGCCCTGAAATTTAGTCTAGAAAGTCAAAACTGTTATGGTACTTGAATCTTAACAGACTACACTAGTTATACTTGTACACTAGTTCTCCAAATGATGTGTGTCAAGACTAAAGATAAACCCATCATTGAATTACTGTCTCTACCGTGGGAACAAACTACAAACATGTATTTCCATAGCATAATATATTCAGGAATTGTCAAAAAAATCTCAACATAACCAAAATCCAATCAAATTGTACTAATGTGGTCACAATAAAAATATTTCTTCTAACCAAAAAATCAGTCACTGAATAATGAGGCATCCTACCCATTAACTTGCAGTTTGATTTCCAGCAGATATTGATGTCAACTGAAATTGGAATAGGTTCTAGTATGAGATCAGTTCATCTAAATATGAACTATAACACTATCAGTTCATCAGTTCATCTAACAAATAAAATACTAGCAACCACAAAGATAGTCAAATGGTTCCAATTATGTGCTTTCTTGAAATCCTAGAATGAGCCCACAAATGAAAAACAAATAGACTAACTTCAAAGGTTACTTTTTGTGGAAACAAAATCTACATATTTCAGAAAACAAATAATAACGCAGAATCATGTCCTCTTCTGCTTATCTACTATGTTCCATCTCATCCACACGGAATCAATCAATAACTTCATTACTTGATATCAGCATTTTAGTCATCCTAAATATTTTCTTACTTCTACTTATAAATTATTTTGTTCTAAATTTCTTCCTTATCATTAAGAATAAATTTCCACGGTGCCACCCATTTATCAAGCATGAAGCCTTTTTGAATTATTATTATTATTATTATTTTTTTTTTATCAAGTATGAAGCTTGAATCATACAAGGAGGCAAGAGATTTATGAAATCATTTCTAGTTTCCAAAGACGTGCCCAAGAAACCAAATTCAACAACATTACATTGTGTTCTATGTTATCCAAATCCGAAGAAACATCAAATACTAAACCCAATTATATTCACTCACTTCATTTTAGTAGCCTAAGTTTCTTATAAGCATTTTATCAAACAGTTGACAGGCCACTGTGCAACAACATTAAATTATGTTCTATGTTATCCAAATTCGAAGAAACATCAAATACTAAACCAAATTCAACAATTTCAAATATATGCAAGATGTAATCTTTGATTTTTCATGAATACTTTTTACTATTAGCCAGAAACAAAGAAAGAAAATAGTTTGTATAAATTTTCTTCTCTGTTTCATCAATATTTTTTGAACCCATTGAAGATTGATTAATATTTTCTGTTATCTATCAAAATTATAGTAATAACAGAATGGCATTAATTTTGGGTCAAAGTTCAAATCAAGCAAAAAACAAAATGAACAAAATAAAAGAAATGAAAAAGTTTACCGCCAAAAACAAAGTTTAGCAGCCAAAAACAAATAAAAAATTAAAAGGTGCATGAACAGATGCTTGGGCGAGTCTGCTGGAGCCATCGTTTACCCTTCCAAGCTAGCTATAGTAACAAATATGGAGGAATAGAGAGGCTTCTGGAGATGTTCTAAGGAAGGTGCATCTAAAAAGTAAAAAAAAAATGCTTAAAATTTTAAAAATATTCACTAAAAACAAAAAAATATGAAAAACAAAAAATTCAATTTTCAAAAAACTTAATCCAAAAAACTCAAATCAAACACACACATTATCATTTTGAATTGATTTATTATAATTGAATTTCGTAGCACGTGTGGTATCAAAAAAATAAAAATAAAAATTCGCAGTGCCTTCAGGCACGGGTTATTCCAAGTATATATATATCTATATAATAAGTCACAAAGGTTTTTGAAAAATGTATCAAAATGTATGTGAGATACATTTTGATCCAATGGCTGAGATTAATCCCAAGTATATATGAATGGTTTAGATCAATGGTTTATATCAAAATGTATCAAAGGTTTCCCGCCCATACCCTCTGTCTTCCCCATACCCTCTGTCTCCCCCATACCCTGTGTCTTCTTCCTATACTGCTGCAGAGTTGAGAAGCAGATAGTGAGGTGTGTATTGAGAGAAGCAGATGCGAAATTGATTTGAGAAGGTTGGAGACAAGCACTGTTATGATTTGAGAAGCAGACTGCACTCTTAGCTCACAGTTATTAAATTCAAATTCAAAAGTTATTGAATTCATATATGCTGGGTTCTTAACTGCTGGGTCCAATTCTGAATGAGTATGAACATATTACTGGGATGATAACTTTGGTCTACATGAATGCTGCAACAATGGACAGCATTGAGAGCTTGTGAAAGTCTGGGATTTGAGACAGAAAAATCTCAACAATTCCCAACCCAATCATGTATGGGTTATTGGAAAAACTGCATTGAGCTTCACGACTTCTAATGTGATAGCAATTTGACTTTTTTATGGCCCTGAAAAACCATCACATTTCATAGTTATATATTATGTGAACATTTCATTTCTTTTTTTTTATATAGATAAATTACACTGCTGGCCTAAACTATGCTTACTTGGAGCATTCATGGTAATTTTGCTCCCTCTCTGTTGTATTTCACATTCGGAGGAAATCGTGATTTCCCTTCAAATCTCAGGTTCTAATGCTCCCTCTCTCTCTTTCTTTATGATTACGGTCAACTGTTTTGTCAATGGCATGCTTGCTGCAGGCATATGAAAATTAGGGAGCTTATGCATATGTTTAATGCAATTGATTGGCATATGCTATATGAAAAGGCTAATTTTCTAGAATTAAAAATTTAGAACAGCATTAAATGTTTGAAAATGCCCTCATATTGCTCAATCACAAGCCATTCAACAGTCCATGACTGTGGAATTAAAGGCAAGGTAAGGACCCCTATCTTATCCCTCTTTTTCATAGATAAAATACTCCATTAGAATGTACCAAAGGTGTGCAACCCATGTACACAATATGCATGCACAGTCTATACCAACATTACACAAAAAAGTTTAAATATATATATATTTTTTTAATACTCAATCTGCCATGCTTTATTCTTTTAAGAATATATAATGCCTTCTTATAATGAATTTGATGAATGTGCCATGAATGGGATTTGGGAATCTGTTGTGTATATATATTTTTGGTTTTCTCTGTTGATGCATTACTGAAGTGTTATTGCTAATTTTTTAAATGACTAAGTTTTTTAATGATGAACCAGTCTATCGATTCAATTGATTATTTTATAGGTGTTTTTACTTAGATGGTCAATGTCATATATATGTAAGTAATACTTCGATTGGAGCTGGATTAAAAATGATGGATCATAAAGGATCATAAAGGACATTTTCATAGATTCGTAACAAAAATTCATAATTTAATCGTCTTATTAAATTTAGTAATTTTCATGTTCTTTTATCTCAGTATGTTATATTTAACCTTTGTTTGATTGTTGGTTTTCGAAAGATAAATTCGGACACATTGTTATTTTAGGCTCAATCTGAATTGGGGAATTCTCACATTATTAACCTTTTTTCTGGTATTTTCAGGTGGTTGTGTTGGAGTTTGAGAAGGTTGCATGCATATGGGGTTTAAGAAGAGTTTAAGAAGGTTGTTGGGAGTATATAATTTAGGACTGATTTGCTTATCTGCTTAATCATTATTATGTGGATGTGGGCTTTTCCAATTTTGTTTTGTTCTTCTTTTTATTTTTTTCCTCCTTTAGGTAGACAACTGAATTTCATTAAAATGAAACTAATGGCCTTTTGTTTTCTGTAACCAAGTGCTTTTGCCTCCTTAAGTTTGCTTTAATTTATTGTCATAGGGAATGGATATATTTATTTTGTTAGAGAATAATTTAAAGTATAGTTAAGGGTGCAAAAGCACCAAAAACAAAAATTATATTTATTCTCACATTATTAACCTTTTTTCTGGTATTTTCAGGTGGTTGTGTTGGAGTTTGAGAAGGTTGCATGCATATGGGGTTTAAGAAGAGTTTAAGAAGGTTGCTGGGAGTATATAATTTAGGACTGATTTGCTTATCTGCTTAATCATTATTATGTGGATGTGGGCTTTTCCAATTTTATTTTGTTCTTCTTTTTATTTTTATCCTCCTTTAGGTAGACAACTGAATTTCATTAAAATGAAACTAATGGCCTTTTGTTTTCTGTAACCAAGTGCTTTTGCCTACTTAAGTTTGCTTTAATTTATTGTCATATGGAGTGGATATATTTATTTTGTTAGAGAATAATTTAAAGTATAGTTAAGGGTGCAAAAGCACCAAAAACAAAAATTAAATTCATCTAAAATAATAAATTACTCACTTTGTATAAAATTCATTGTTATTTTATTTGAGTTTTGTAGAGCGCGTAATACAAGCAAAATTGTTATAAGTTTTATAAGAAGAAATATATTTCAATATATTTTTTTAGTATCTTTATTAAAAAAATAACACAAACGTTATAAATTTTAACATAATACTTATAGATTATAACTGCATTTTAATATTAAAAATATTTACACCGTGCCTTTAGGCACGGGCATACGCTAGTATATATATAAAGCTAAGTTGAAAGTATTTTTTGATGTGATAACTTTTTTTTATTAAATTGTCTCTCTCCTTAAATTTGAGGAAAACTTTAAATTGCAGTGATGCATTTTTTTGAAAACCAAACAATGATTCTTTTTCAAAATAGAGTTTTTAAATCACTTTTTTGAAAAAATTTCAAAAAAATCGAACCAAACATAGTAAATCATTTTATTTTATTTCTCACAAAAGTCAAAAAAATTAAAAAGTCTATTTCAAACGAGACGTTTTAACCTTAGATTAAAATAGATAAAAAATTAAAAAGTCAAAAAATCAACTCACATTTCAAATAAAGCCTAAAATGAGCTTATCAAGTCTAAATATTTATTCAAATTAAGATATAATTGTAGAGAAGCCAAATCCAAATAGCAAACAATGTGGAATACAGTGCCAAAATTGTAGAGCACGAGCTTGGAAAGGAAAACACAGTGGTGTGAAAGAGGGATATTGTTGTGCCTTTGATAATCTGAATTATTTATATTGTAAAATTTATTAAGTAAATCATTCATATAAAAAATTAAATTGATTAGATATCTGTAATTCTATAATCAAAACAAATTTATTTTTATAAAAATGAATAGTTAACATAATTTTAATAAATTTTTAAAAATAATTAAGATCTAATTATAAGATTATAAATATTCAATAAACTTAATTTTTTATACGAATAATAGTCTTAACGTACCTATAATATAAACTATTCATATTATCTGAAAAATACTCAGAAAAAAGCATAGCAGTTAGAGCATCTCCAATGGTTATTGCTATAATACCATTGCTATTGTTATAAATTGGCAATGAATAGTGTTATTTTGTCAAATTATAACAATGGTGCTCTAATGGTCATTTGCTATTTTGACAATTCTCAACTAACTTTCCCTCCAAATTTGTAGGTGTTGTTTGGATATAGGTTTTTTTGTGATTTTATTTTTGTTTATTTTTTGTCTTTTATGACTTTTTTTAACTATTTGTAAAAAAAATTATATATTTATATTATTCCCAACTAGATAAATATAAAAAATGAAAAAAATTTGAAAAATTAGAAGAAAAAAATAAATATAATTAAATAGAAAAATTACTTAATTTTTTACTATTTCAACTCTGTTTTTTCAACTGAATTTGAAATCACAAATATATTTATATTTACTGACATGTTTAATAATTAATATTTTACTTGTCAAATTTAAAAATATATATAACATATGTCATCTTTAAAAAGTAAAATAACAAATCATTTGAGACTCATATTTTATCTTATTCCTAAATTATAGTTTTGGTAAGTATTTTGGAGATGCTCTTGGGCACGGCAGTATCCCGTTTATATAAAAGCGAGAATTGAGGATATGACGGGGGGTTGGTCGAGCGAGCGAGTGATATTATGTAGCATGCGATGCGAGAGAGTTGCAGCGAGAATTGGAGGCCAAAAGCCAAGCTAACAATGATCTCTGACCAAACTCCACAAAGGCAAGTCTCTCATCCTCCTCTCTCTCACCGCTAGCCTCTTCCCATTTTAATCCTATCATCGTTTTGATTCATAAATTTGAAGAGAAATTTAAAAAATATATAAATGAGTGTTTGGTTTGAATTTTTTGAATTAAATTTTTTGAAAATTATTTTTTTTGATTTTCGTATTTTTTTGTTTTTAGTGAATATTTTTAAATTTTTAAATATTTTTTTTACTTTTTTAAATGCACGTTACTTAGATGTATCTAAAAAATAAAAAAATATAAAAAAATATTTAAAAAATTTAATAAATACATAAAAATATAAAAAATATACTAAATTCTTATACTTTTTTTTGTATTTTTGGTATTTAGTGAATGAGTGGTGATTTAGAGCACTAAATTTGAAGCTCTAAAAACACCACTAATGAGGTGGCAATATAAAGAAAAAAAAAAATAAAACAAAACAAAGACCAAACTATCACATCAGTGGTGGGGTTTACATGATGCCACATCATTAGTGGTGCATTAGTAGTGTTAAATTAGTGATATGAAACATTTTTCTTTAATGAATTTTTAAAAGATTTTTTTAATAATTTTTTTACTTTTTAAGTGTATTTATGTTAAATGTGTCTAAAAAATAAAAAAATTATTTAAAATATTAAAAAAATTCAGTAAAAATAAAAAAAAACACGAAAAATAAAAAAATAAAATTTTTTAAAAAGCGTTTTTTAAAAAATAAACAAGCAAGGTGATTAATTTTTTTTTATAAAAATACATATAAATTGTAAGTGAAATCACTAACTTTTGGCTTTGCCATTCTATCTCTTCCCAAATCTACAAATCAAACGCCACACAACGAAACAAATCTTTGCACAATCTATACATGCATATACGTACTACTCTAATACACATGTTCAGACATTGCAAACACAAAGAACCAACAAGCAGAAACAAGAACATGTACACCCCATCCAGCTCGGCGAAAACGACTTCGTCCTCGAACACACGCACACACACACATATATATATACATACATATAAATTATAGATTGTTGTTATGCTTTAGCATCTCCAATCTTTTAACCTTTTTTTAAGTGGTAAAAAATCATCTCCGATTTGTTCATCCAATATTTATCAAATCAAGTGGGAAATATTTTTTTGAGAATTCATCAAATCCTTTGTCAAATTTGAATTTGATGAAAATTTAAAGAGATTGATCATTATATATATATATATATATATATATATATTTTTTTTTGTTTTCCCTTTCAAATTTGACGAGAAAGGGAAATTTGGGATAGGATGGGAATCTTTTTTAAAGATTTTGATGAAAATTTGGAATAGTTTATATCAATTCAAGGTTTTTACTCAAATTTGAATTCTAATAAAAAAATAGTAGAGGGTTGGAGATGCTCTAATGTTTAGTGGGTTTGTGATTGGAGGAGCTTGATCTGTTGAACGAAGATGCGAATGTGTACGAATTGATAGGACTGGTACTTGTCAACCAGGACTTGGTGGAGGCAGATCCGAATGTCTGCTAGTGGATTTATTACATCTCTCCTGAATTGTATGTATGTTTTTGTATCTTTATTTACTATTTCATCATTACTTCCAGCAAATTTTGAGTGTTAGTTATGCATTGTGGGCGTTTCAAATTATGACTATTTATTTCATCATCAGTTCTAATAATTTTTGAGTGTTATTTATGCATTGTGGGTGTTTGAAATTATGCTATCTATGTCTTAATGTATTATTTTTTAAATTGGTTGAGGTATGATTTTTCTGTAGCCTGTTGTGGTGACCAAACCCGAGTGAAAATACAATTGGATCATTGCCTTGTAAATCTGTGAAGCAGGCAACGATAATTCTATGGAACTTTGAGTGGCTTTGGGATGGTCTGTTTCATATTTAGTGCTAGAGAATACGAATGTTGAAGGTGAATCATGTTGGGTCTTGTAGAGCCTGATAAGTAATGTACATTGGGCCATAGTTCCAATGGGGGCCTTGGGGCCTCCCCCGAAGGGAAGTGGGGTGTCTAGGGGTTTACCCCCGGGCCAAATTTTCTGGGTACATTTGTAATTTTCTGTTACTTTTGCGGTGCCCTAATTTCTATGCTTATAAATAGATGAAGGGGACACCTCTTTTGTTGTAGAGAGTTGTAATTTTTTTTTCTGATAATAGTGAAAACCACATCAGGCATGAACGTAGTGCTATTTTGGGGTGAACCACGTAAATCCTTGTGTTCTTGTGTGCGATTTATTTGATTCGTTTTATCTTTTTTGTTTGCTATTTTTTTGTTTCACCGATCTTGGTTAGGATGAATCGATTTCCTAACAAACCAAAAGTCAAAGGGATTACTATTATTTAGCAATCTAAACTGATGCTTGTTCATGAAATTTATGGTGTACTTGACATTTGAGGTGTGGAAAGGAACTAAATGTAGTGGAGGCAACAAATCAAACAAGAAATACATGGTCGAAAATTGAAGTGCATCAATGAGAAAACCTATATTATGAACAAATTTGTGACTTTTGTTTTAGTTGATGGTCCTGATGGGTAGAATGGGTGTCAAATGCTTTGAAAATTCAAAACATCTCTTTTTGATTTTTTTTTTCCCTTTTCCTTCACTGGTTTATCTATTGTTTTTGCCAATATTGTCGGTATGTCATTTTCAATTCTATCGACGGCCTATTGTTGTCCTCTTTTGTTTTTTATTTATGTTTTCAACAAAAAACAACGGAAAGTTTGAAAGTATCATCATTTTCATATTATTTTTATTTTTGTTCGAATTTTTTTTTGTTAATTTAAAAATTAAATCTTTTTGTTTCCCAAAAATTTAATTATTTTCATGAACAATTTCCAAAAATAGTTTGCTAAACAAGTTATGTGTTTTTTGGAAAATGAAAATACAATCAAATGTGTATTTTATTTTTTTTCCATGTAAATTTTTTTTTTTTGTTGGTTTTTTTTCTCTTGTTTTGTTTAAGCTTCTTTGATAGGTTGGAATGCCCTATTGAGAGTGTTTTGGGGCTTTGCCTTTAGATTTCATGATGCCTTTATCCTATGCATGTTTATGCACTTGAAGAGACGTTAGATATTCTACAATGTACTTTTTATTCTTATTGTTTTATTGGATAAATTACTCTTTTAAATGTTTTCCAATTTACTGCAACATTTATCTTTCATCCAATTTTGGACGAAAAATGGCACATCATCAACCACTTGGTGTCACCTAGTGCATAATAACATATTATGGATAAATTACACTTTGCCTCCATAAGTTTCATGATTTTCTCACTTTGACTCTTAAAGTATTTTTTCCCCACTTTGGTCCTTAATGTTTGAAATTTTTCCCAATTTACTCCCAAAATAAAGTTTTGTTCAATTTTGGACGAAACATGCCACTATGATAAGCATGTTGCATAAAAGTAAAATCTTACTCTCTCCGTTCCAAAATATTAGTCCTTTATTCCATTTTTCATTGTCCCAAAATATTAGTCCCTTTTCAAAAGTCAAGGACTAAAATAGTATGAATATCCTATTTTGCTCTTCTTTTAAATTTATTAATAATACAAAAGTACAATTATGACAATTGATATTCCTCAAAAAATATACTATCAAAGGGTAATTTTGGAAAATCAATATTTTTAAAGTGCAATAATTGTACTACCAAAAAAAGTTAGATTCCCCAAAAGGGACTATTATACTCTTTTAAATGTTTTCCAATTTACTGCAACATTTAACTTTCATCCAATTTTGGATGAAAAATGGCACATCATCAACCACTTGGTGTCACCTAGTGCATATTAACATATTGTGGATAAATTACACCTTGCCTCCATAAGTTTCATGATTTTCTCACTTTGACTCTTAAAGTATTTTTTCCCCACTTTGGTCCTTAATGTTTGAAATTTTTCCCAATTTACTCCCAAAATAAAGTTTTGTTCAATTTTGGACGAAACATGCCACTATGATAAGCATGTTGCATATCTGTTCACAAATATTAGTCTTTTATTCTATTTTTCATTGTCCCAAAATATTAGTCCTTTATTCCATTTTTCATTGTCCCAAAATATTAGACCATTTTCAAAAATCAAGGACTAAAATAATATAAATTTTCTATTTTGCTCTTCTTTTAAATTTATTAATAATACAAAAGTATAATTATGACAATTGATATTCCTCAAAAAATATACTATCAAAGGGTAATTTTGGAAAATCAATATTTTTAAAGGGCAATAATTGTACTAACAAAAAAAGTTAAATTCCCCAAAAGGGACTATTGTTTTGGGACAGAGGGAGTATTAAAATTTGGTTGAGTTTCCAGAACTTGATTTATGATTTTTTTTTTTTTTTGAATTATTAGAAACAAATTTGACAAAAATAAATACCAAAAAAATATTTTATGAATTTTTAAAAACTATTTTTGTCCAAAAAGAGAAGCCATATGAAAACAAGTGTTTTTGATTATTTTGAGTTTTTACCAAACTAGTTGTTGAATATTTTTCAAAAAAATAGATTATAAAAACTCAACCAAACATAGAGGTGTTTGGATGTATATAAACAGCAGTCATGATACAGGGGTATAACAATGAAGGAAAGGGATAGAGAGGGCCAATGGAGGTGGAGAGAGATGGTGGAGGTTGGTGTAAAGGGGGTAGAGAAGGAGTAGTGAAAGTTTGAGAGTGAATTTGAAGAAGAGAAAAAGAGAGATTGGGGGGGGGGGGGTGTTTGGAATTTGAATTTGGATTTTGGGTCTTGGGTCTGGGTTTGAATTTTTAAGAGTAAATTGAGAAAATTACAAACATTAGTGGCCAAAATGAGAAAAAAAACTTTAAAGGGCCAAAGTGAGAAATTGTGAAACTTAAGAGGGGCAAAGTGTAATTTATCTATCTATTTTAGGCCACGTGGCTCTCCATGTGGCATTTTTCATCCAAAATTGGACAGAAGTAGTTTTGGAAGTGGATTGGGAAAAATTACAAACGGTAGGTGCCAAAGTGAGGAAAAAACAGTACTTTAAGGGCTAAAGTGGGAAAATCATGAAACTTAAGGAGGGCAAAGTGTAATTTACCTAGCACATTATTTTGTAAATTTGTCTCTTGATGTTTCTAATTTTTTCCAATTTACTTGAAAAACCAACCTCTGTTCAAAACTAGATGGAAAATGCCATGTTGGCAACCTCGTGGCATAACCCACTGCCTCCTCCACCACTCCCACAGCCCCCTCCATGGTTACAATACCACCACTTAACCCTTTACTCCTTCCTTACTACCAATTTGCCATCACCAACAACTGAACAATATCTACCACCATAGCCCTTTCAAATCGATGCCATCGAGCATCTCTCTTTCAAATCCGGTTTCCATTTGGGGGCAACATGGCTGCAATCCATCCAATTTTAGACAAATGTTGACTGCATGGTTATCAGAATCCCGATCTGGATCTTACGATCCTACGATCTTATGATCCATTTGAGTACCATCGATCCGGATCGTGTACAAAACTCCTTATAGGTAGGATCTTTCGATCCTGGTAGTGGGATCTTATAGGATCGTGGAATCCCGATCCGAATCCGATCCTATCCGATCCAATTTACAAGTCTTGTTTTGTATTGTATGACATATTTTATTATAAATTTTATGGTTGTTGTCTAAATACCAATTTATGTAATCAAAACAAATAATAAAACTTAAGTAGTATTGAATCAAATAGACTAAGAAAAACAAACTAGGAAACAAACATTCAAATATTGCGGTAATTTAAGAAAATTAAATAGTCGGAAAAACAAACTTAGCTTTAGCGGAGTCTAAGGAAGGTAAAATGATTGCAACTTTATCCCAATTTTTGGAGAGATTATTTTTGTGACTTGAATCCGCTCCACCAAGGATGCTAACGACAAACCTTATCATTCGACTAAGCTACTCTTTTGAGTTCTTAATCTATTTTTATATCTAACTTTGTTAAATATTTTTTTTTTTTACTTTTTATGCATTATTGTAGATTGTAAAGTATTTTGTTATAGAATTCTTCTTCTTCTTCGCCTTCTTTTTTGATGAAATACAAAACTTTTACCATCGAGTTTTCTATTGTATAATATTATATGTACATTTTATATGGAGTATTGTATTTTTCACAATATTTTCACTTATTTTTAATAAAATATAGGCTCATTTAATTATTATGTAATTTGTCTTTTTCAGTAGGATCTTACGATCCTCGATCCGATTTTACGATCCGATCCTATAAACACCTCCAACGATCCAACATAGGATCTCGATTTTAACAACCTTGGTTGACTGTTGGAGCAAATTGGAGAAAATTAAAATCATTAGGGGCTGGAATGGGAGAAAAAGTTCTAGAGTTGAAGTGAGAAAACATTGAGAGTTAAGGGGGCAAAGTGTAAGTTGCCCAGATTTGTATAATAATGTGTTATTATGCCATGTGGCTGCTGACGTGACATTTTTCATCCAAAATTGGATGAAAGTTAATTGTGGGAGTAAATTGGGAAAAAAAGAAGAAGAAATGTTAGGGACCAAGGTGGGGAAAAAATAAAACTTATGGCCCAAAGTGAGAAAGTGCTAAAACTTAAGGGGACAAAGTGTAATATACTCTATTTTATATTAAAAATATATAAATCTTTTATTAAAAAGAGGTACCATGGGGTGCAATCAGTGTACAAAAAGAAAGTTCAATATCAACTTTAAATCAAAACTTATTTGAAGGTCCCTAAAAAATGGAAAAATTGGTTCAAGGACGGATTAATTGCACCCAAGAAGTAACTATACAAGAAAGACAATAATTTACTCTTCAACTTAAAAATAGACCCTTACTTCCCGTTGAAATTCTATTGTGTTCTTCTCCTTAATGGTTTTATTATGCAATTTTTGGATCATGATGGGGATAATAGATGTTTTCTTTTTAGTAGTCCCCAATTTACAACTAGTTAATGGCAACTCTTAATATTTCATTATTTAATGACAATTTTTGTGATTTCTAGTATACTACGAAGTTTGGATACTAACACGGACACAAGACATTGATTTCCAAATCTCAAGATACAAACATAGCAGGGATACGACAATATATATATATTTGCTATGTTGTGAGTGGGCTATGTACAGCGTACAGGGATATGACTTTTGCAGGCTTGATGTGAAATTAAGGTTTATTAGGTTCGAAAGGTGGGATTTAAGTGCAAATAACTTTCTTAAGTGATTGTAAAAGCCCATTTTGCAATAAAAGTGGTTTGGTCGAAGTTCATTTGACGTATTTTTAGAAATGGCCATATGACCCCTACTTGTCGAAAATCTACTAACGATCGCAAAACGCTCACAAAATCTTTGTTTTTAAAATGAAATTTGGCTATTCTTATGTTGTTATTAGTGTAGGTACTTTTATCACACGGCGAGCCCCTCGAGCGCCACATCATTAATGCCTTACCCACATGGCAATCCTACAAGGCAGCGCAACGTTCTTATAGGACTAATTGGCGTTGTATACCTAGCCTAAGCGGCGGCATACACGCCACAATAGTGAATCAAAAGTGTGAAGAGCCCAACAACGGAGCTACACTTACTCTTCAGCACTATGGCTCACTTCAAGTGTATGTTCATACCTTACTCACTACCTGCCTAAATAGCAACATAGCCGGGTTCTTGGCTCGCCTATCTTCACTGGGTAACCTAGGTTGAGTCCTTGACTCACCCAACATACAGTTGGGCTTGGCTCACTCAATAACTTGGCTGCCTAGGTTGGGAGCAGGACTTAGGCCTTCGATTGGGATCATTGAAGGATTATGGATTGGAGGCTAAGACCACAGGATTGTCATGGCTTGCTTGGTTGTCTTCCTGCCAAGACAACTCCACCTTGACTAGGCTTAGAGAAAGGCGATGTTGACCTTACGCTCATCTCTCTGCATGCATGATACATTGCCCAAGACATCATACCTACCAGCCTAGATCATAGATGAGCAGTAGGGTTGATATTAGCTCCTCCTTGAATTGAGAAGAGCTAGCCACCTGTTTAGCAGGTTGCTTGAGCTCCTATACTTCAAGAGTATATAACGTATCATGCATGCAGTAGTCAACCACAACGTATAGGAGTATATAACGTATCATGTATGCAGTAGTCAACCACAACGTATAATCACACAACAATACGTCTATCACAACACAAACTCTTTCAAGGTCTCTCACTATCACTCTCTCTATATCTAAGCCTGGCGCGGTCTTCTCTTACTTCACCCTTAATGATCTCAAGCCCTTGAAGTGCTTGTTATCTTCCTAGAGGTTCATAACCGATCATTGTTTGACAACTTCTCTCTACTCGTCCCTCAGCTATAACAGAATATGTCCAACCTTCTCGGCTTGATTAGTGTTTCATCCCAGCCATGGAGACCAAATAGCTGATCACCTTCTAGATTCTTGATGATCTTCCTTGAAAATGGTGGCAACAAGGCTACATTCCCTTCAGAACCCCGGGCTACTACTTTCCCAAATAATCCCTCTCAAGGCTTTTCTTTTGATAAAATTTCTCCTTCTCAATGGCCTGCCCACAATTAGAAAGCTCTTTCTTAGTACTACAAACTAGAATGGATCAATTTTGGAAAACATAAAATTTTAAACATAAAATGACATGTGGAGCTGAAACAACTTTGTGAGGAATTTGGGGGTACTTTGGTCGATTGGAAAATTTGGGTTTTGAGGGTTGTTCTAAGCTCAAATGTCTCTTTTAAGGGTTTGATTGAGGTGTTAGTCTAGGTTGGAGAGGATATTTGTGCGCATCAAATCCAAGCAATGTAAACCGTTTTTGTAGTTTCTCGAACTTGAATTTTTTCTGGTCTTCATAGTTGGGCGGTGTTTCAAGAGTGGGTCTAAGTATTATAGATGGTCAAAGTGGGGTGTCTATGTATGTATATGAATATTACATCCACAAACAACTAAAGATAATAAAAAAAAATGCCAATTCAATATAAAAAAAACTACTCAATTTATAATTTAAATTTTATTCATTTTAGTAAATACTATTTTATCAATCATAAACCATCATATGAAAATGTTTTCCTTCATCAGCTCAGAAAATTGTGGGTAGCACAAGTAGAAGAAGATAGGTTTTCCTTTATCCATTTCAAGTAAAAAAAAAAAAAGAAAGAAAAAGGAAGCAATTTCACAATTAATTTAGAATGACAATTCACCAACTTCAACAATCAAACACTAATTTGGAAATTAAGGGGGAGACGACTACTTATTTGTAGTGTTTAAAGGGTAAGAGAGAAAATATTACATAGTGATGATTTACACAAACATGTATATATAGTGGTGATCATGAATTTATGACTCTTTGCAACTTATTGGGGCATGTCCAAAGGTGAGACAGTTGTGTCCGTGACGTTTCCCCAAAGTGTTTGGGTGGAGGAAAAATAACTAAAAAATGGGTCCCATCACGTGGCGTGTCCAATACGTTTCCCAACTTGTGGGTGTCTGACATGTGTTAGATATGGCTACTGCAATTATGTAAAGTTATCATGATTTATAGCTAGTATATTTTGTTTTCCTACATCCATGCGTAATTTCATATATATATATTTGTGCTGAATGTAATAAATTCACACGCACGACTTTGTCAAGATGCTAGATTTTGGGGGTTTCTTCTGTCCGACTCCTCATTTATTCCTATTTGTCTTCCTCTTCTTCTTTACTTCCATGCTTGTTGCTTGGTATATTTCATTGAATATGAAGTTGTGTTTTCTTACATCAGGAAGCATTTGGATGCAATGCTACTGGACTTGGAAGAAAAACAAAATAGCAAGAAAGATGTGGTTAGTATTATTTTGTCTTTGTACATGTTGTAATTTGCATTGTGACTTCATTTGGTCTCCATTTATGTTCATCTAGGCAATTATATTTGCATAGTTATTGCAAATTATATGCTGATGCTAATGCTGACTTTGTTGAAGTTTGAAAGTTGTGTAATTGTTTGGTTAGCATTTTGATTTATTTACTTTGACAAGAATGGTCTCTTGATCAGTTATTTCGCTATTATTTTGCCTAATCCACCTAATATCATGGAAGAAATTTCTAATTAGACTTGTTGATGGGGATCAAATTCTCAGGGTACACACTTGGAAAATGAAAAAAGGGAAGAAAGCCTACGTGGGACCCACCAATGGACCAATGGCTCATGCCATAGGCATCACCTGACTGAGACTGCTTTTGGATGGGCTTGGTCAAACACATACGATTCTATCTACCCTTGTGCTAGAAAAATCAGATTATTAATTACTAGGAGTGTTGTGGTGTTTTTCATATTAGAGGGATATTTCTGTGATTGTATATTTGTTTGGTGTCTAGGTTCGGGGAGCTTCTAAATGCTCCACATAATATCTTTGGACAGACACATTCTAGTAGTGGTAGATTCATTAGTAAGGTCAGCCATTTATATTCTAGAAACTGAATAACAACTTGTACTAATCACAATAATTGGAAGAGGTACTAAAATCAACGAGACCAAGCAATTTCAATCACAGACCATGATAGGAGAATACCAATCACTCAAAGCTAGGTAATGGGGTCATATAAGGACCCAAAAAACAAATAAAACTAGGAGAAGAAACCTCCAATCAAAACAGTGGCTAAACTAATCTCAGAAAAGAGAAAACCTTGCTTGAAGTGGAGAACCAAAATGCAGTGGGGCCAATCAATGCATACAGTCGACAAAGTGAAGGTGTTGACCCAAGAGAAGGAACCAGGTCAGATGAGTGTCACGAAGCAGTCCACAAAATGATTGATGATGTGCAACCCTCAGAGAGGCATCAGCGAGAGGTGAAAGGGACAAAGAGGCTGTCGGAAGTGCCAAACAAGCAGAAAGAGGCTGTCTGCTGACCCTGGGTGACCTCTGGCTGGTGTCAGTGATAAGAAGAGACGGTCACTAGCCTCAGAAAGGTGGGAGGAGTGCTGAAATAGGGTGGGTAATGGTCGGTTGGGGATGGGTGAGGGTGGACGATGAGATGGTAGCCCTAATGCTCTGATACCATGTTTGTTAAGAGAGAACAAAAACTTAGGGAATGATTAGACAATCATCCCTTTTTATATTGATAATAGGTAGCTTACAATGGAAGCCTTGGAGGTACAAATATGAAAATAACAGAATAAGGAAATAACAGCTAATAGAATAATCAATACACAATAATGAAAGATATTATTCTAACAAGAGCTCCCGAAAAAGGTGAGGAACTTTGCTCAGGTTTGCTTGAATGCTTCCCTCAAGCTTTGGCTATGGATTGATCGACTTTCTTCAACCTTAGATTTACTTTTGGTTGCTAATTAGCTATTGTCTCTAGGTTAAGAATTTCGGATTTGAGAGGTGCCGGATGAAACTCTACTCTCCTAGTTCAACTCAACAACTCAATTCAACTCTAACACTTTGTGCTCCTCAAAAGCTGTGTTACATGGACTCGGCACTTTGGGGCGAAGCACCAGTGTTGACACGACACGACACGGGTGCGGGTGTGGGATTTGTGTCGGATTCGCGTGTTCTCTCTCGGACACGGCTCTTTATAGACAGCAAAAGAGATAAAAGAGGGAGAGAGAGAGAACATGGTCACCTGTCGAAATGGCGAAGACATCGGTCGCTGTTTCGACATGCTCGATGCTCGATCTCGATCTCCTGCTCTGTCTTCTCTCTCGTCTCTCGTCTCTCGATCTGTCGATCTCTCTTCCTCTCCTCTCCTCTCATCTCTCGATCTCGATCGCCCTTCTCTCTCTCTCGGTCGCCGACTTCTTTCTTCTCTTCTCTGCTCTTTCTTCTCTTCTTTGTTCTCTCGATCTCCCTTTATTAGTATATAATATTAGTAGATAATATAATAATATAATATATTAGTCGATAATAATATAATAATATATTGGTATATAATAATAATAATATATTTATTAGTATATATATAATAATTATTATATAACATATAATATATTTATAAGATAATATATACTTATATATATTAATAAAAAAAAATAAACACATGTATGTAACATAAAATAAAAAAATTAATTAGAACACATTGTTTAAAAAATATAATAAATAAATTAAATAATTAATATATATTAAAATAAAAATATTTATAAATATATATATATATATCTATATAATATAACTCATCTCCATAGATTTTTATTTGTTATTTATATAATATAACTTATCTTCATATAATAAATATATTTTTTTTAAAACAAACTATTTAACGTATTCCCGTACCCGTATCCAAATTTGGATACATATTCACGTATCTTTAATTTTTAATTTTGAAGTATCCGACCCTTAGATATGCACCCGCACCCGACACGCGTACCCGCGTCCGTGTAATTTAGCTCAAAAGAGGAGGCAAGGGGGTGTTTTTATAGGCATGGGATGACTTGGGGGCTAAGAAAGGTCATCCTAGGGTCCCATCACTAACTCGCGGCGCTTCCCATCCAAAACGCTACACAGTCCCAAATGAAATAGGAAACTGGACTGGCCGACTCCATGTGTGGCCGCACAACATAGACATGGCCGCACAACATAGACATGGCCACATATCACACGTGTGGCTGCGCCTTGCACGTATGGCTGCACGTACTGGACAGCCTTTCGTATTTTGGGCATATCTCTCTCATCTGACACTGAATTGAGGTGATTCAAGCAGCGTTGGAAAGCTAACTTAAACAGCTACAAGTTAGTGTGAAATATAAATCTTCCACTTTCCAACTTTACTAGGTGAAAACAGGCCCTCAGGATGAGTTGAAAAACTGTAATTTTGGCTAAAAATAGTTTTTAACACGAAAATGAGAATACAATAGCTCCAACAATTTCAAGTATCTCAAAAGTCGAAATTATGATATCTTTCATCATTGGGAAGCATTTCAAGAACCAAAGTCTTAACGGTCAGTCAAAATGAAGTGTCTACAATGGTCAACCAACTTTTCAAAAGTTACACATTTATCCCTAATAAAAAAATGTTTTTTAATTTGTTCCTTTGAAATTTGAAGTATGCCCCTAAAAAAATGTTTTTTAATTTGAAGTGTCTACAGTGGTCACCAACTTTTTCTTTTCAACAAAATCCATGCAATTTGTCATTTTAAATGTGTCATTTTTCTAAAATATTCTCTTATCAATTTTATATTGTTTCTCCACCTCTTTCATTTCTTTCTTTACCCTCTGTATATCTCTTTTTTCTTGTGTATGTGCATCTTGATGTAATTTTGTTCTCATCTTTTATGGAGGCATGTAATTGCTTTTTAAATCATGATGATCATTATATAGAAAATCAAATTAATAACAAAAAAAGATAAATAATTGGTTAACTCTTAACATATCTCTAAATATAATTTTTGCATCAAGCTGATTTTTAGTCCTACTACCAAATGGAAATTGGGTTAAGTTGGACAATGATGCAGGGCTGTGGTTGCCAGTGGAGTGGGAGTCCTATGAAGTTAGATTTTTGTATTTTTTGGTAAATTTACTTCGGGGAATATGATTAAAAAAGAGAAAAGAATTAGTGGGGGGGTCCAAAGCCATCCTAAACCTCAATTTAAGCCTACAACCATCCTAAACCTCAATTTACTATCTCAATTAAAAACCTATAAATATTGAAGCCTTCTTGGCCCATGAAATTTGATTATGGGACAACCTAAAATTCCTAAGTGAAGGGGCACTGTCTTGTAAAAATTTGTTCAGTTTCAAAGGAAAGGAAAGGCTGCAGTCTGAAGTTATGAAGTACAATTTATTAAGTTATTACTTTAAGGCTGCAAGCATACACGATGGATTAAAATTGCAGGTAATTACTGTTTGGCATTTCTTAGGTCTAACGAAATAGTTCGTGGGTTTTGATTTTTGTCGTTTGATGTCTGGCTTTCCTAAGAAAGATAGGGGTTTCTTTGAAAGATATTATTGATGCTAGTTTTGACTGGCTTTCAGATCTCTGTCTAAATGATAATTTTGATATTCTAAATCATAGATTTTTGGAATTTGATTTGATTTAGTGGAGGTTGCAAAAAATTTCAATAGATGTGTTAAGTTCGTTGTGAATATCATGAGATGCAACGCGCTGCCTAGATATTATAAAAGACAGCTGTGTACAACTAGTAAATTAGTTTATGGGATATAGGTCTTTGCCTATAGTTACGTATATAGCTAACTTGAATCATGACAAGCATGTAGGAAGAAGTTAGAGAAGAGGGGAGTAAGATTACTTGTTTGTACCCATTGTCTTTTTATGTGCACCTCTCTTTTAATTTGTTTTTACATCTTAGGTCATATCAAAGGGAAATGTTAAAGTTCCCTGTGAAAATAAATCTTTTTTACTTCGTCTTTACATCTTAGGTCATATCAATGGGAAATTTTAAAGTTACCTATCAAAATAAATCTTTTACATTACAAACCCTTAAAAATTGATTGAGACAGTGTTTGCTGGCTTGGGCAAAAACCAATGAATGTGGCTGTAAATGTTTTATTTTATTTTTATTAATTCATACATAGCATCTGGCCTCATTTGGCACTTGTCCTTCCTAAACATGGAAATCACAGAGTCTCTAAGCCTAACGAATGGACATTGTGTTGACCATTCTGTGTTTTCCAGCTTCTTTTAATGAGTAGTTTAAGAAAATATATTTATTGTCATTGAACTTGAATTTAATTTGGCATGAAATTCAGAATGGAGAAGGCATCAAACCATTAGAAAATAGTACATTTTGGCTGATAGTTAGAAAATTAGAAACCTGGGTTGGGTGGCTTATGTGAATGAGAAAGCTTGTTGGCCAGTGGCTGGTGAAAAAGGAGCAGCAAGTCATCAATTGTGGATAAGTGGCTGAGACTATTGAGAGAGAGAGGCAGAGCTGAGGTGTTGAACAAAGTTCGGGGCTCTTCTTCAAACCATTTGGTTCCCTTTTATCATAAGCAGTTCTCATGGTGTAGAAAATAAACCTCAGGTTTAAACAGCTTTGTGACAATGTACCGGTGTTTACATAGGACACAACACGCACAAAATATATGATTTTATATATTTACTATATCATATATATGAATTTTTCATTCATCGATAATAAAAAATGCCATATTTCACTAATTCCTAATATTTAATGGAGGGATCAATAGGCATAAATCTATATTGCTTTCCTTCTATCTTTGTATCATCCAAGTTTTGTTCAAACTTATAATGTGTTTCATGTGTGTGTAAGCAATGGACGTGTGTCCCCCATGTGTCCAAAGTGTTTCTAGGTCTAAAACAGCAAAAAAGAAAAAAGAAAAATGACACATTTAAATGTGTGTTGGACACGCATCGCAAAGTGTTGATGAGTGTTGGTGTTGGACACAAGTCAGAGACAGATACAACATGGACATGTGCCTTCTTAGAAGTGTCCGTGCTGCTTAGCCTAAAATACTTGGTCATATGGTTAAAGGTGCTCAAATACCTACACCTCTCACATGAAATATTTTCTTCTTTGTTGAGAATTGTCCTATTCTAGTCAACTTAGTTGGAAATATTGCCCCCTT